CAACGATCCAAGCAACGAACTATTCCGCGCGCCTCGCATCGAGCTGGGTTATGCATCGCCACGGCGTCGGTAAGTTGCTGCGGGGATCTACTCCTTTTTGTTGTCGCTTCGCGTGCGCGCGTCGCATCGCCCTTGTATCGGCCTTCGCGCACCGCGCCGCAGTGCTAAGGATACGAACTGCGGATCCGTCTCCTCGAGGCAACGAGCTATCCCACGCTCGTTGCGCAGCCACTCCATGCGATCTCACCGCCGCTGGGCGGCGTCCCTGCGACGCACAGGGACTCGCGTAAATATACGTTGTTTTTCAAATCGCGTCGTCGCGCGCGCGTGCCGCATCGCCGTTGCAGCGGCTTCCCAGAAGACTTTGCGCGACTGTCGTCGTCGTCGTCGTCGTCGTCGTCGTCGTCGTCGTCGTCGTTTTGAGATCAACATCGTCGTCCTCGTCACTGGTATCGTCGTCGTCGTTCTGAGATCAATATGTCTTGGGTCATGGGTGGGTGGGACACGTCCAACAGGCTTCCAGTTTGGGCTCGTGGACTCTAAGAAGTAAGAGCCTTTAAATATTTAAATCGTGGAATGCCTTGAAGCGCCCTTACGGCGCCCCTTATGCGCGTCCCCATTTTGGCGCACCCCTCACGCCGATTCTGCCTTCGGAGTGCCGGGACTGGTGTTCTCAGAGCCTCTGCAAGTCCCAGGGCGCGCCCCTCATGCAGATCCGTGGCCCCGGGGTGCCAGGAATGGCGCTCTGAGAGCAGCCCTTCTACACCCCTTTATGCGCCCCCCCATTTTGGCACACGTCTAACGCAGATCCTTGTCTTCCGAGTGCCGGGAATGGTGTTCTGAGAGCTTTTGCAAATGGCGGGGCGCACCTCTCACGCATATCCGTGGCTTCGCGTGCGCGCGCCGCATCGCCCTTGTATCGGCCTTTGCGCACCGCGCCGCAGTGCTAAGGATGCGAACTGGGGATCCGTCCCCTCGAGGCAACGAGCTATCCCGCGCTCGTTGCGCAGCCATTCCATGCGATCTCACCGCCGCTGGGCGGCGTCCCTGCGACGCATAGGGACTCGAGAAAATGTACGTCGTTCTTCCAATCGCGCCGTCGCGCGCGCGTGCCGCATCGCCGTTGCAGCGGCTTCCCAGAAGACTTTGCGCGACTGTCGTCGTCGTCGTCGTCGTCGTTGTCGTCGTCGTCGTCGTCGTCGTCGTCGTTTTGAGATCAACGTCGTCGTCTTCGTCATCGGTATCGTCGTCGTCGTTTTTGAGATCAGTATGTCGTGGGTCATCGGTGGTTGGGATACGTCCAACAGGCCTCCAGCTTGGGCTAGTGGACCCTAAACCCTAAACCAAACCCTGCGGCCTCCAGGGCGCCGCCCCCCCTGCCGCGACGAACCGTCGCGGGGCGGGGCCGCCAGGCGGAGCGCGTTCTCACCACCTCCCGGGTTTTGGGGCGCTGTCCTCCGCCGCGGAGGGCGGCCACGGGGACGGCGCATATGTGAGCGTGCCATCGTCTTGTCGAGGGCGGATGATTGCTAGAGCCTCGTCGCGCAAAGCTCGCATGGTTTCAGTCGCCGACGGCGCAGTCGGCGACGCAGTACTGGGTCGCTGGGACGCAGCACCGCGTCTCGAGGTCGTTAACGTCGCGCTGGTTTTCAGGTTGCCTGAACGTCCCCGGTCATAACGATCTTTTCATCAGGTGCCAGCGCGTGCGAATGAAATCGGCCGCGGTCGTGGGGATTCTCCAGTTGGGGGTCGCCAGCCTTTTACCCAGGATAAAGTGCTCGTCCATACTTTTGAATGGAAGGTCGAGCATCGCACGGCCCCCGTCGAAACATTGCACGCGTGTTGGGCCCGATTTCTCGGGAGCCCTTGCTATGTACTGGCCCGTGGCCCACCGCCGTGCTAGGGATGTGGGTAATATGCCTTTAAGATGTTCGTTGGGATGTCGCGAGGAGCCTTTTCTCAAGAGCCGTTTGGAGGCTTCGTGGGTGCCGTTTTGCAGCTTTCCGGGGCGCATTTGGGGGTGTATTGGGGCCACTTGGGTTTTTGTTTGGGGGCCTCGTGTAAGGGCCTCGTGGGGCTTCTTGGGGCCTCCTGGGGTTTCGTGAGCCCGTCGGCTCGACATGTCTGTTCGTGTTCTTCCCTCCGGGGCCTCTCTTAGCGCCGTCTTGGGGTTCCTTGGGCCGTGTTGGGGTCCTCTTGGGCCCTCGTGGGCCCCCCTGTGGCCGTGTTGGAGCCTTTTTGGGGGATTCGCTGGGCGAAGAAGGGCCCACCTATTGGGGGGTTGGGTGCCATGTGGGCCTTCTATGTTGCCGCGAAAGCCCACGAGGTGAATATAGTGACAATGCGTGTTTTCTCGACGGAATGTGGCGATTTATGCTTCTGGGGGCTCTCTTGGGGGGCCCGCTTGGGGCGTCTTGTGGGCCTCTTGGGCCGTCCTGGGGCCACAATGGGCCATTTTGAAGCTGTTTTTGGTAGCTCCAGGGATCTCTGTAGCCATACGAAGCGGTTCTTAAGACATTCGAGAACCTGGGAGGTCGTATGAGGTTTGGCCGAGCAGTTCCCAAGAGCTCCTGGAAAGTTTGGGAATTTCTAGGAAGTTCCGAGAAGTTTCCGCAAGTTCCTGGGAATATATCCCCAGAAATTGCTTGCAGATTGGGGGCCCAGGCCGTTCAGAACCTTGCATCCCTTCTGTTGTACACCCTCCACCCCTCAGCCCTACAGGGCTGCATGAGCCTCGAGGCATTCATTTGCATGCTCGAGGCACGGTGGCGGATGACACCGCAAGATAAACAACACACGAAAGAAGCATGATTTGAAACACGCAAGCGCACTCATAAACAAAACGCAACACACAAACAAACACTGACGCGCGCACACCAGCACAGGCGCACACATACATGGTACATGCACGCGCACGCGCACACACCACACACCACACATACGCACAGCCCTTCCCAAGCGCGGCGGCGGATGGTTTGCACTGATTGCGACCCGCGTGCCACATATTGCACCATAATGTTTTTTATTGAACCGTGACAGTTCGAACGCCAGGCTCCCGGCGACAACTGCGGCACCACGAGGTGCTGCACGGAGCCAGGTACCCAGTGCTACGCCATGGACGAATCTGCGGTCCGCTCGCATGCAGCTAGACATGTCGATTGGAAGAGCTGGAGACTATGTTTGCTACTGGTATCGGCGAAAGACCATTCGAGACAACAGTGGCCCTCCCTGGGGCTTTTCGTTCTTTTGGGCATCCTGGAGGCTTCTCGTCGTTCTGGCTGGATCCGCTTCGAAAAATGGGTCACGATGGATCCCGGGATGGATCTGGGGACCGAATTTGAGCGGATTTGGCCGGGCGGGAGATCAGCCGTAGTCTCATTTGATTCTCTTCCAGTGGTATAGTTACAGTTCGAGACGGCCCTCACCTACATACTTTTTTGTTGCGGCTCCCCGCAGAGTTTGTTTCCGAATTCGCCCCGTGCTCGCCATCTTGTTCTGATCCCGGGGTCCCCAGCTTGAGCCTCTCCGCTGACAGCGTCCTCCCTGCGGGAGTCCCTAGGAAGTTTGGCCCTCGGAATACGTTTGATAACGGCGGCCCCCAATCCGGGGATACACATTCTGTCGCGTAACGCTGCAAGTAATAGTGTGGGACTTCATTTTGACCGCGAGAAAGCGATGAGGAGCGAAGGTCATCCGACCTGGATGAAGTATCCCACATGCTGTCCTGTGAGCAATGCTGACGTATATACTTTGAACTAACGCTTTTTCTCCTGCGCTGACCTCAGGTGTTCCCCACCTGTCGCTTTCCTCCAGGCCTTGAGCCGCAGATTCAACTCCAAGCTGTGACCACAGAAGGCTTGCTTTAATTCGAATATGGGTGTTTGTCATCTGCCGCTATTGCGAGGTTCTGGGTCCCGCTTGGTGATTTGTCTTGCTTGGCACCTGGAAGCTGCATTCTTGACAGAGAGAAATGGGATCTCGGCTTGCGTGCTGAGCTCCCGTGCAGATTCCCCCTCAGTTTTGCAGCTTGCGTCGGGCACCTTCCTGCAGTGGCAGTGCCGATCTAGCTCGATCCCCGACGACCATCATCTCTCGAGTTGCCAGCTTCCGCACATCTCGACCCCCCTTCTGGACATTCGCATCGCGGGCAGTTTTTTTTTTTTTTTTTTTTTTTTTGTTGTTTTTTTTGTTTTGTTTTTTTTTGTTTTTTTTTGTTTGTTTCGTTGACCCAGGGCACAGACGCGGCCTCTTGACGCCGAAAATGACGAAGCACATCCCGCGTGATTCACTTCGAATCCTCAGACTCACAGACCCTATGTTTGCATTTGGTCAACACAGGGTCACCAGAAAATCTCGACGCTTTCACCAGAGTCGGCTCTTCTACCACAGCCGTTCCCTGGCGGCCCAGGGGCTCGGAGGGGCCCCCCAGAGGCTGCAAAAAACCCGGAAGGACCTCCACATTGTGTTCTGCTCGATGCGCTGAAAGGCCTGGGCAGGCATCCCTCGCTGTTGCGCCAGCAGAAGGCCATGACATCCGACGACGTGTGGTTGTGCAATGTGTGGCCCCCGAGGTCCCCTCTCATTTCCCAGAGGCTGTTTTCTTGTCTCGGACTGATTGTTGGCGGAGAGGTCGGGAGCCTTCAGGCGGGTGTCAATGTAAAGGGGGGTCAGCCAGAGCGCTGAATCTTGCAAGATCCTGCACAGCTGGGGCTGCTTTGACTTAGGTTGGCGCGCAGGATCCTGCGGAGCCGGACCGACCCGGGTTTACATTGACACGTTCGGTACACTTAACCCGCATTGTAAGGACGGGCGACCTTCCCAAGGGTACCGTTGCCTCCTTGCCTCCTCGGTGCATCCTTGGCCACTTTCGTTAGTCGCGCTCCGCTCGAAAACTTCGAAATGGGCTTCCGAGGGCCTTGCATCCTGATCGCGCGTCCTCACTATACGGGTTGACTGTAGATCTACGAAGAGGCGGGCGTGAACAACAAAAACATCCCGGGAGCTACGCAGCCCTGGCTTCCTCGCCGCGGGCCCCGCGCCTCCCGGCGGCCTTCTCCCGCGCGGGGCGCCATGGGCCCCCCCGGCGATGCCGGCGTGCCGGCCGCCCAGGAGTTGGGCAGCGCCAGGGGGGGGTCACCGTGGAGGGGGGGGCACCACCTGCGCCTGAGGATCGAGGCTTCTCCTCGTCGCCCCCTCGGTGGTGCCGGCTCCCTCGGAGTCTACCCCTGACTCGACAGTGGTGCCTCTCGGATTTGCCTCCAGGGAAGTACCCATTTACGAGCTTAGAATGGCGGCCCTACTGGAACGTAGTAGATCCAAGGAAGCCAGACAGACTGGCTAGTAACTCTGATCTGTTCAGACCTTAGTGCCATGCACTTCCCCTTTTGGGCATTCCATTCCATTCCAGGATAGAGGCTCCAGGCGGTTTTGATGTTTGGGATCGTGTCGGGGGGCTCTCGAGTGCTCTGGGGGCCCCATGCCTCCTGGCCCCTGGGCCCGAGTGCCCGAGTCGACGGGATCGGAGAACCGCGCCGCGTCGCCGATGCATCGGCGCTGCCGCTCGATGTGCAGCCCGATTTCCTCCACGCTGGCGTCGCCGACGCATCGCCGACGGCGCCGGTGCATCGGCGATGCATCGCCAGTGCGGCGCGATCCTCCGACCCCGTCTGCTCCGACCCCATCTGGGAGGCCTCTAGTTCCGCGTTGGTCGCGCCTCCGCGGCGCGCCTGGCGCGATTCAATGGCAGGGACAGGCGGCGCGCGGCCAGTCGATGGCGCGCGGGCGTTCCGCCATTGAGGCAAGCAGCGTGTTGGACATTCTCCCATCCTGAAGTCGTTGCGGCTCCCCGGGGGGGGGGGCTCGGCCTGGCAGAGCATGCCGAGTCCGAGAGGAGGGCTGCGCGCGCACGGGTGCGGCCACAGGCGAGGCGCGCCGGGTTGCGGACGGCGGCCGGGCACCGGAGGAGCCGGGGAGGCGGGGTCCGAGGGTCGGAGGCCTCGGTCGGCGGCGAGCGGGGGGGGGCAGCGAGGAGGAGAGGGCCTCCTCGGAAGGCAGCTCGGGCGATCGCACACGTGGATCCTAGGGGGGCGCGGATCGGCACCGGGTCGCGTGTCCAGGGGAGATTGCAGACTTCCGCCGACGCGCGAGGCGGCACTGGCCGCGTTTTAAGGAGGGCACATCCTCCGATTCATGGATTGGGCGATCGCGCGCCACATCCATGGATCGCTAATCCATGTTTGCGCGCCCCTGAGCAGTGAGGCTTTTCAGAACCGCTCCCGCCTTATGAGAAGTTTTCGGTGTCATCGGGGGAAGCTTGGACAAAAATTCAGAAGGCAAGGGATGCTTCCGAGCCTTCTGAGAGGGCCCGTCCCCTCTCATTTACCGTCTCGCTCGCCGCCGACTTATGAGGTCTTCTACAGTTTCGAAAGTTCCCAGGATTCGGACACAGACCTCTAACGCGTTGAAAAAAACAAGACGGGAGGTTTCGTCGTTTTCGGCGTCTGAGGACCCCCGCCAGGCCCGACCGTGCAATGACGATCTGGGACGAAAAACTGGTCCCCGGGAAGTGGTCCAAGGCTCCCTGGACCACGCATCAAGCACACTAAGACATCGGAGGTCTGGGGGGGGGTCCATAGGCCGCGCTTCTTCGAGAGCGCTCCGCGGATGCTAGAGCCGTCCTGCACAGCCGCCCGAGGCCTACGTGACGCCCCGAAAGCCAATATGGTGGACGTCGGTTGATTTCCTCCTGGCTACCTGCCCCAGCCCTCCACCTCTCGAGTAGGGGATCGACTACATCATCGATTTGCGAGCAATTCGTAGAATGTTCGCATATCTACGAACGGTTGACGTAGTTTTGTTGAAGAGTCGACGTGGAAATCAATTTTGCGGTAAACCAATTCTGTAGTCGATCCCCCAGTCGAACCTCGCCCTGGCCGCCCCTCCGGTGGCCTGGCTTTGGAGCCGTTCTACGCGGCTGGCCAGGTCTCATGGCACCACATGCCAGACGCGGGTCGGTGTTAAGTCGGGTCTGTCCTTCTACAAGAGGTATACTCAACATAGTAAAACATAGTCTTGGGACGATGTTTTGACCATTTCGCAGTATTTCAGTGCATTTTTCGGACAAGGCCTGTAGGGGGACAGGCCCGACTTAAGGTTAATGTGACCCGGAGTAGCAGTTTCCCGAGACGGGAACACGTCTTGTAATTCGAGCTTATTTCTTGTATCTGGCGCGGGTTCGACGCGGATTCGCCTTGGGTGTGGCATGGATCGACGCGAATTCGACGTCTTCACCCGGATGCGATCCGATGTGGAAAGCGGCGCCATGGAAAAGGCAATGTCTCCCGAACGCGTACGTAATCTTAGAATAACAACAATTTCCAAAACAGTGCGAGCACTTGGGGGACCTCATATGTTTTCTAAGGAACTGGGCCTGCGTGCTGGTCTGGCGGCTATTTCGTCGTCGCCGTCGCCGCCCCGTCGCCGCCTTGTCGCCGCCAGTCGTCTGGGCCGGCGTGCCGGTCTGGTGGCTATGTCGTCGTCGTCGCCGCCTCGTCGCCGCCTCGTGTCGTCTGGGCTTGCGTGCCGGTCTGGCGGCTATGCAGTCGCCGTCGCCGCCTGGTCGCCGCCTCGTCGCCGCCTGTTGTTTGGGCCCAGATCGCGCAACGGTGGGGAGGGTGGGGGAGGCGGAGGGATTGAGAGCGGGGGGGGGAGAGTGCGCCCTGTCGCCGGCACCAAAGTGGGCTGTCGCTCCCTTCCTGGTTCCGGCGATCGCAGACATGGATCAAGGGGGCGTGGACTAGCGACGGGTCCTGTTTCCATAGGACATCGCCGATTGCCGCCGCCAGACGAGGCGCCACCTGCCGCGGTTTGGGGAGGGCACCTCCCCCGATCCATGGATTTGGCGACCGCGCGCCAGATCCATGGACCGCTAATCCATGTTTGCGCGTCCCCGACTGGTGCTTGGGAACAAACCCTCCCGAAGGGCGCATCTTCCCAGTCGTGCTGTACCAGGGACTTCTGGCCGATACGCTTGGCCCCGGTGGACACCAGACCTACATCGGATTTGGTGCTGGGTTCACGGATTCAGAACACAAGGGAGGGAGGGAGGATGAGGCGGAGGGAGGGGGGAGAGGGAGGAGGAGGAGGAGGATCAGGAGGAGGAGGAGGAGGAGGATGAGGAGGACCCGTGTAAACCAAAGAGTCATCAACGATGTTGGAATTAACCCTCCCTCCCAGCACCCTCTTCATAAGCCCCTAACAACGGTTCATTTCCATTGAAGGAATTGCTTCGTTGGAAGACTCCCTTGAAGACCCTGAAGTATGCTGAAACAAGGTTCTCGGGATTTCAACGCCTCGGATCAACCTGACTACTGCGTCTTGACAATGCGGAATCGTCCCAGAACGCCATGCTTGGGATTTCAACACCGCGAATCAACATAATTGCTGCACCAGCATAATCCTGAATCCTTCCAACACCATTTCTGGTTCGTTGATCGTGGGAATCTGTGAAGCCCTTTCAAGTTTTATGAACGAATCTGCGCGGCTCTTAGGCGAGAGCCACATTTTGCAAAGGAACTGTCCTCAATCCTTGATTTTTGCAAATGTTTAAAACTGCGCGGCTCTAAGGCGAGAGCCACATTTTGAAAAGGAACTGCCCTCAATCCGTGCAACCCTCGCAATTTCTTTAAATTGGATGTGCGCGGCGCTAAGGTGAGAGCCACATTTCGAAAACAACCCGCCCTCAACTCGTGAAACCCGTGCAAATGTTTAAACCGAATGTACGCGGCGCTAAGGCGAGAGCCACATTTTGAAAACGACCAGCCCTCAATATGTGAAACTGTCAGGGGACATCGATTTTCCAGGACAAGGAATGGAAGAGGACGTGGGACGGGAAAGGGAACATCGCGTTGGGCACGACCGCCAGCCCTGCCCCCTGAGAAGAGGGAAAGAGAGAGAGAGAGAGAGAGAGAGAGAGAGTGCCAGCGCTGCTTCTAGGAGGAGCGGCAGGCCGCGGCGTCGAGCTACTCTCAGGCGGGGGGGGGCTTTAGGCCCCCCAGACGGGGACCGAGCACATGGGGTCGGAGGATCGCACCGCATCGTAGATGCAACGGCGATGCGGCTCGATGCGGAGCCCGATCGTCTCCACGCCGACGTCGCCGATGCATCGCCTACGGCGCTGGAGCACAGGGATGCGCGCTCCTCCGACCCCACCTGCTCGGACCCCACCTGGGAGGCCTCCAGGGGCACACCGTGCGCAGGGGCAACGTCAGGGGGGGCAGGCTTGTCGTGGACTGGCCTGGCTGGTCAGCGGGGGGGAGGTCAGGGGCAATGGCAGGGGGGACCCGTCTTGGCAACGGGGCGGCCCTCACTGGCGCTTTTGGCCCTTTTTGGGGCCTCCTGGGGGCTTCCTCTCGCCGCCACGGCTGGATCCGCCTCGAAGAACAGGTCAGGATGGACCCGGAGAAGTCTGGCTGCGCGAGAGGGTTCGCGAGTAGATCCTTCACCTCGCGGTCCGAGTCACCGTCCATCTCGTGAAGTGGGCTCCTGAGGCTGGCCCGCTTGTCGGCGGTGGTGGCAAGGGCCACGGCGACTGGCGCTGCATCGGGGGACGTCCCGCCCAGAATTCGACGACAAGAAACAAAACGACAATCCGCACCGCGGAATGCCACTGCAGTGCAGCCACGCACCCAGGGACAGTGAATGACCATTCGGCCCCCTCACTTTGATCTGCCTCTTTGGTCTTCACGGCGTTCGCGACGGCCCAAGAGGCCCCCAGGATCGCCCCAAGTCGGCTCAAGACGGCCCCCAAGACGGCCCCAACACGGCTCAAGAGGGCTCCAAGACGGCCCAAGAGAGGCCCCAAGACGGCCCAAGAGAGGCCCCCTCAGGACCCGAAAAGCGAAAAGGGTCCCAAGAGAGCCCCAAGAGGGCCACAAAAGATCCTTATGAGGGCCCCAGAGGGCCCCGAGGGGGGCCAAGACCGTCCAAGCTCCCCAAGACGGCCGAAGAGCACCCCAGCACGACCCAAGAGGGCCCCAAGACGGCCCCAAGGAGCCTCAAAAGGTTCCACAAGAAAGCCCAGACAGGCCATATACGTTGATTTTCGCAAGGTTGGTTGTTAGTTTTTTGTATGACGTAACGAATTTTCGACACCAAGAGGGCTCCGAAACTCAAGAGTAGCTGGCTCAGTTATACTCAGGCGAGAGGGCGTGAGCGGCCCTGACATACTTACAACTGTGCATCTCTCGTTCCAGATGGCGCCCAATGACAAGTCCGGAAGGAAGGCGGATCAGGGCACCGGTTCGAGTCCGAAAGACAAGAAATTCAAGGCGGAAGAAGAAGAGAAGGAAGTTGTGGATGAAGATATGGAGGGAGGGGATGAGGACATGAGCGAGAAGGAGATGATGAAGACGATGATGAGCATGATGAAGCAAATGAAGAACGACGTGAAAAACACGAGGAAGGAGGTGAAATAGGCGAACGACATGGCGCAGCAGGCCAAGTACGCCGCGAGCATAGCAGAAGAAACAGTGAATAAAGTCAAGGGGGAGATGAACATCATCAGGGACAGCACTGTTAAGAAGGCCGACTTACCAAATATAGTGAGAGATATCGTGAAGGAGCATGTGGGGGGGAAGTGGGACAATTACAGGACACGTCAATGACACACAGCAGGAGGAGGAGCGTACGAGACAGGTAGTTGCCTTAGGCTTTGCCGTTCACGTGGAGGCGTCGAATATCATCGCTGACATCGAGGGTAAGTTGAAGACCTTGCTCGGCGAAGATACCAGCGCTAAGGTAACAGCACCGAAAGATCCAACCACATTCGCATTGATTACCTTCAACTCCGTGCCGGAGAAGATCACCTTCTACAAAACGCTCCGGGATGTTGACAGCAATGCGATGTTTGGGAAGGTATTCTTCGAACACAACCTGACGCGTGAGGAGCGAGCACGTGTGAAAACGCTGGGGCACATGAAGCACCATCTTGCTGAGCACGACAGTTGCAAATATACAACAATGAAAACCACCTGGCCAAAAAAACATTGTCGTAATGAGGGATGGGCAGGGTAAGGAGAGGAAGGTAGCTTGGTACGACGATGAGGGGGAGTGGCACACAACAGCGACAGGAAAGGCAGTGGAGAAGGTAGTGGAGGACTCGATGAGGAAGTGGTTGGCGAAGGTGAACCCGGAGCCGGCCACGGAGAGCGAGGAAAGCGAGTGACCACATGATGGAGCGCACGGCCGGGACACGTGCGCAGGGGGAACCAGTACCAGTTCAAGGACGGCTTCTTTCAAGGGGGGAGGGCGTGGAGCACTCCAACACGTAGATGGCGATTTCCCTATATCAGCGCTGAAACACTCGTTGCCGGAAGGCTCGAAGTTGCCGCCGATGGAGGAATTACCTAATTCTCGGCATGAAGAATTACGCATTTTACATATCAATGTTCGAAGTTTGATTTCTGATGATCGGATCGCTGAGCCCCTGGACGAACTTGACGGGGCGATGTGGGACCTGATGAGTGTGAGCGAAACTTGGAGAAGAGAGACAACGGAATTATTTACGGTGGATGGTGGTCATGTGTTTCTTGGATGTGGCTGGGGCGGCACTGGTCGCACTTCTGGTGAATAAGCGGCGGGCGAACTGCATTCGCAATTTTACACGGCTTTCGGAGAGAGCGTGCTTCGCAGATATAGTTTCTGTTTATTTTCGTGTTCGTTTTGCGCCCGCTTATTTTCCGCATTCTGGCGATGCAGACTCCCACGTGCAGCATTTGTACGACATGCTGTCCAAAACGCGTAAGGAGGCCAGCACCAAACGACTCCGATTTGTTCTTGCTGGGGATTTCAATGCATAAGTGGGCAGCAGAGAAGAAGGCGATGCACGACGCGCTCTCGGACCTCACGGGCTACGACAGGCCAGCGCAAGAGAGCAATGGTTGAAAACATGGGCGGGCACGGAGCGACTGAATATTGCGAACGCGTTCTTTTCGAAAAGGCCGATTTTCAAAGTCACGCACCACGGAGGGCATGGGAACCAGCGACAGATATATTACATCTTGCTATATTCAAAATGTTTGGGAAGCTTGACAGATTCTGGAACAACCCAGTTTCTCAATATGGTGAGTGACCGCGCACCTGTTTATCTGTTTCTGCGCATCGGCCACCGGGCGCGTCAAGACAAGAAATCGCAGAAGCCGGCTGTTGATTGGTCGTGTGTTGATATCTCTACATATGTTGTCAAAGTGCGAGAAGTTTGTGGCGAGTGGACTACCCCAGAGAGCGCGGATGCACTGTGCGACTAATGGTGGATGCCGCCGGCAGGGCTCAAGGAACTCATGGCGACCCTCGGCCCAGAGACCGTGGAGATACCGATCTGCAACGTCTTTTGGAACAGAGAAAGGCAACGACGAATTCTTGTGGCGAGAGGAAGACATTGAGCAAGCAAATTTCCAGAGAGGTCCGCACAATGCGAAGAGCCAGTTCGACAAAACGAATTACCGACATCTTGGAATCGTTTCGAAGCTCACGCCAAATCCCGAAGGTAAAATATATCAAGAGGAACAGCTTGATTTTCCACGTGGTTGACGACGACGGGAACACGATCACTGACAGGAAATCGATTGCAGATGTGTTTGCCGACTTTTACGCGCAGCTCTATCGCGAAGATGATTATCAAGAGCCAGCTGACCAGGAGGACAGCGTCAAGAGCCCAATTCCCGAGTTTACCTTAGCGAAGCTCCGAGCGCATATAAAAAACTGAAGCGTGGGAAATGTAAGGACCAAAGGGGGGTCATTGCCGAAATGATCAAGCATGGCGGCGAACATTTTGAGCTTTTGATATTGAAGTTGTTCAACGACATCATCTCGGCAACTGGCGTTCCACCAAGCAGCTGGAAGGAATCCAAAGCTTCTGTCTTGCATAAGTCTGGAGACGCAGCACTTGTTCGCAATTACAGGCCCATCACGGTCATACCATTATTGAATGCGCTATTTGCCAAACTACTGCACTCTCACTTGTTTCCTGTTCTGGACACGCGCCAAGGAGTTGATCAAGCAGGCTTCGTCCAAATGTGGGTACGGCGCACCATTTGTTCGCGGTCGCAACGTTGCAGGAGAAGTGCCATGAATGGCAGCGGTGTGCATGGATATCTGTAACCGGCTTTCAGAAAGCATTCGATTCGGTCAAGCGCACATGCGCATGGGAGGCTCTGGAACGACAGGGCATCACAGACGGATGCGTTCAATTGCTGAAGAGTTTGCATTCTGGACAATCGGGAAGAGTACGCACCGACCGCATGGGCAAGGGGTTCGACGTCCTGCGCGGCACCAAGCAAGGCGACCCGCTCAGCAGCTTGCTATTTAACGCAGTCCTGGAATATATCTTTGCCGAGGTCAAGCCTGCTTGGGAGAAGAAGTCTTGGGGGTTGAGAATGGGTTGCAGCAAGCGCCAGCAGCTTGCCAATCTACGCTTCGCAGATGACGCTTTGCTCATTGGGGCGTCTTTACGTCAACTGAATGTCATGTTAAGTGATCTACAGGATGCAGCCCAAAAACGTGGATTGATACTCCACCCAGACTTGACGAACAGCTTGACGAACGCAACCAAAGGCACAGGGCGCCCAAGAACATCGCACGCGCAAGTCGGAGACATGAACATTCAGACTCTGTCGTGCGAGGAGAAAACGAAGTACTTGGGAAGGCAGTTATGCTATGATCGACCACGCGACGTTGAAGTTGATCGCCGGATCATCATGGCATGGGAGAGTTTTATGGCACAGCGTGCAGCACTGGTCAATAATACGTATTCTCTGGATGTTCGTTTGAAGCTTTTTGACGCCGCGGTGTCCAACGTTCTCTTGCACGGCAGTGCAACGCGGGTGCTGTCGCAGGAGCTGACTGACAAGTTGTGCCGGAAGCAGCGGAAGATGCTGGGCGTGATCTACGGTAGTCGTCGCCGGCCGGCGGCCGCGCGTGTTCCACCTAGTTCCACGTCATCACCAGAATCAGTGTCATCATATGAGTCGGCA